TAAAAACGAGTCCCATTCTTTTTGTGAAAGCTATGAAAGAGCAATAGTTTGAAAATTGATAATCCTTCAATACATCACCACTGATCTGCGTCTGTTTATTTTTCTGAGACAGAAAGTTCACACATAGCTAAATATCACGTTTCAGGATCCGTGTTTTTCAAATCCATGTCTGAATGGAGGGACCTGTACATCCAACCTGGCGGCCCCAGGCTCTTACAAGTGTGACTGTGGCCATCAAGCCGCTCTTTTTCCGTACATTAATGACCATTGTGAAATCGGTAATGATTATGATTAATGTAGCAGAGCAGAGCAGAGCAGAGCAGAGCAGAGCAGAGCAGAGCAGAGCAGAGCAGAGCAGAGCAGAGCAGAGCAGAGCAGAGCAGAGCAGAGCATAATATGTTTCTTTCTCAACAAATGAAAATAGCGACTAAAATCGTTATATGATAAATATTCTCTTAACAGAATCAATTGCAAGTAAACTCACTTCTGGATATCGATTTGTCTACAATGGTGTGTTTCATGTAAGGCATAAGTCAGGCGGTTCTTGCTGGAATTACTTTGATGCTAAGAGAGTTTGTGAGATKTTTGGAGCTGGCTTGGCRAATATACAGCAACTTACAGCGGCTTGGAAGATAGGATACGACGTGTGCAAGTAATTAATTTTAAATAGAATACATACTGATTAGGGTAATTAAAGGCCAAATATGATATATATATAGCTACAAATTGCAGATGGATAATTTGTGAGGGTTTGTCCAAAAGTGTTTCAATACATGGATACGTTGGAATGAGTTAGCTACTGAAAGAAGACACTGCTTTAGCAAAGTTTCGATGACCGGAAATAATTGTTTTTTTGTTCACTTTTCATATCAGTTGGGGTTGGTTGGTCGATGGTACATTGAGGTACCCCATCTTTCGCAAGCGTATCCACTCCAATTGTGGACCTGCAAACATACCAGGCATTAGAGGAGATACAAAGCCGAAAGACAAAATGATTTCCAAAGCAACTGCTTATTGCTATAAGGAAACGGGTACGTGTAAATGAGATGTGGCGGTTGATTGCTACTTCTGAAATATAGGCCCGTCTGTCTGAATTATGTTTCCATTTTTGTGG